CTCTCTTTTTATTCCTTCTCTTTATTCATTCTCTCTTTTTTTCCTTCTCTTTATTATTCTCTTTATTATTTCTCTTCATTCCTTCTCACTTTCTTTCTTCTCTTTATTCCTTCTCTTTATTCTTTCCTTCCTTATTCCTTCTCTCTTTATTCTCTCTTTATTCTTTCACTCGTTATTCTTTCTCTCTTTATTCCTTCTCTTTATTGTTTCTCTCTTTATTCCTTCTCTTTATTTATTCTCTCTTTATTCCTCATCTCTTTATTCCTTCTCTTTATTCTTTCTCTCTTTCATCCTTCACTTTATTCCTTCTCTCTTTATTCTTAACATCTTTATTCCTTCTCTCTTTATTCCTTCTCTTGATTCTTTCTCTCTTTATTCCTCCTCTCTTCATTCCTTCTCTTTATTCTTTCCCTCTTTATTCCTTCTCTTTATTCTATCTCTCTTTATACCTTCTCTTTATTCTTTCCCTCTTTATTCCTTCTTGTTATTCTATCTCTCTTTATTCCTTCTTTTTATTCTTTCTCTCTTTATTCATTCTCTTTATTCTGTCTCACTTTATTCCATCTCTCTTTATTTCTTCTCTATTAATTCTTTCTCTCTTTATTCTTTCTCTCTTTCTTCCTTGTCTTTATTCTTTATTTTTTATTCCTTCTCTTTATTCTTTCTCTCTTTATTCCTTCTCTTTATTTATTATCTCTTTATTCCTCATCTTTTTATTGTTTCTCTCTTTATTCCTTCTCTTTATTATTTCCTTCTTTATTCCTTATCTCTTTATTCATTCTCTTTATTCTTTCTCTCTTTATTCCTTCTCTTTATTCCTTCTCTCTTTATTACTTCTCTTGATTCTTTCTCTCTTTATTCCTCCTCTCTTCATTCCTTCTCTTTATTCTTTCCCTCTTTATTCCTTCTCTTTATTCTATCTCTCTTTATTCCTTCTCTCTATTCTTTCCCTCTTTATTCCTTCTCGTTATTCTATCTCTCTTTATTCCTTCTCTTTATTCTATCTCTCTTTATTCCTTCTCTCTATTCTTTCCCTCTTTATTCCTTCTCATTATTCTATCTCTCTTTATTCCTTCTTTTTATTATTTCTCTCTTTATTCATTCTCTTTATTCTTTCTTTCTCTCTCTATTCCTTCTCTCTTTATTCTATCTCTCTAATCATTCTCTTTATTCATTCTCTTTATTCTGTCTCACTTTATTCTATCTCTCTTTATTCCTTCTCTCTTTCTTCCTTGTCTTTATTCTGTCTCTATTCCTTCTCTCT